ATATAAACATACAAACAGTTGCCAAAAAATTATCATTTTTCACCAAACATTCTACTATTATTTACATTTGCTGGAAGAAAGAATACAGCAAAGAAAGAGGCTACTATGTAGTGGCATTTTGTAGATTACTCCCAATTTTACCTTAATAAAGTTATAATAAGCAACAAGAAAACAATTTCCTTTGCAGCAAATTGAAAAGAGGCCCGTGTACTGGAGTAAGCATGTTCTACATGTGGTCTTATGTTGGAAAATTGTGATAGTATGGTTTTTTTGTACCTGTTGAGTTCTTGAGGAACCTTGAAATAAAAAGCTACTTAAGAGTAGATATTGGATATATAGTAGCCTTTTTTCTATTGTCTGACAAGTTGTGCATTGAGTGCTGTGATGATGAAAGGAACACTCTCTATCTAACATTTAAAAGCACAGAAGAGGAGCAACTTGCGAGAAGGAACGAAAGGTAAGGACATGTAAAGATACAATCTGGATAAATTGTACGCAAGGAAATGTGGTGATATTTGGGGAAATTCGAGAAGTGAATTCATATAAAATGCTAAAACATAGAAATTAGAGCATCAAGGTGTTCGATCGGTGTTAATTGATTTTTGAAAACGCTGACTACTAGAAGCAGCTGCAAAAGTCTGCAATTTCGGGTTTCTGAAGGAAGCAGTTCTTCTGCCCAAAACACTGGTATTATTGAACGAATCGATGATTGCATTGCTGAATTGCCCGTCCGATAAAACATTTCTTATCGATGGCAGCAGGGTACGATCAAAGCAGCACGTGTCTACACGGAGGGACCAATTAAAAGCAGCAGAAGTAAAGTAGAATAATGGACAAGCCAGCGGCTAGCACCTCAGAGGAATTGTCCAGTGGCTGAAAAATACGTGGAGCAAATAGCACAAGAGGTGCTCTAGCCAGGACAGAGGGCTGGTGCATGACTATAGTGACGAGCGACGGGACACACTGTTGACATAAGCGATTCGATATGCAAATGCAACGACCGCAGGTAGAACAGCGGACATTGGAACTCCTCCCTCTGTCCATTTAGAAATCTAGGGTCACTCAGCTAATGCATCGCGCAGAGCAGCTCGTTTATCGTACTGAGCTAAACAGTGTTTACTGTGAAAGTGTAACCATAAAACTAGGAGTAACTTCATTTCATATGCAAACATGAAAGAAGAAGAGGTTAAAATCGAAATGCGGTAGTTCATAGCGTCAAACACATATCACTAACATTGAATGAAGAAATTCGGAGAAACCTTTTCTTAAAAAGGGCTTAGACTGAGTAAGGTACCGAAAGCAGCACATAGATATGAATCCAAAATAATATGCTCATAGAAGCAAACGAGAACATGCAGATAATTTGTTTGGGGTAACGCTACCCTCGGAATACTCATGTGTGCATATATTTAAATAAAAACCTTATTACTTAATTCATATCTCACCTGCCTCTACAGTTCTTTGAATAGACTACCCCTGCGCGGCCAACTACGACTTCGCAGTGAATTTACCTGCCAGCTAGATATAGGGGAACATTATTGACATAAGCACGATTGCGCATCTACTTGAATGAGATTCCGCTTGTAGTTACCGAAACTCCTGTGACAACTCTACCCGGAGAAGGTTACCACCACTTTGGAAATTTTTCGGGCTCTACTGGAACTTTCTGTTCAAGATGTATATAGTTTGATTGGGCATTCCTTCAGGTTTTTGACTGGATTAGCCGTCCTTGTCTCCAAGCATGATCGACAGCTCCTAGTTTACGAAACAGGAATTGAGGCAGCACAAG